TTGTGGAGAGAAATCGATTTTCGTCGTCCTAACCCAATGGAGTGCGCTATTGACATACAAAAATACAACTCAATTCTACAAGAAGATCAAGTTTATACTTTCCTTAATGGATTAGATGATAGGTTGGATAAAACTCAGAGTGATGTGCTCCAATTAAAACCATTCCCCACGGTCAAACAGGCTTATGCTTTTGTCCGTTGGGAAGATGTAAGGCAGACTGTAATGATATCAGGTGCAGATACTACTCCTAGAGCAGTTATGGCATCCAAAGTGATCAAGGGAGGCCACTACCAAACGCTACTGAAACCAAGGGTTCTTTCTCTGAGTAGCAGAAAGTCCAACCCATCATCCAAAACCAAAGCTTCACCTGATGGCATAAAGTGTACTCACTGTGGCAACTCCAAACATACCCGTGAAACCTGCTTCAAGCTACATGGGTACCCAGATTGGTGGAACGATTTTCAGGCACAAAAAAAATAGGAAGTTTCTACTACTGATGATCACACAGGGAGAGCTGTTATGGTCACTTGTGATCCTTCGTTATCCCTCATCTAGAATCTCCACATGATCTAGGTATCTGTAGTAATGCACTTCATATCTCTACGCACAGTGATAATGATGTCTGGATTCTCGACTCTAGAGCTACAGACCNAAATTGGTTGGATGTTGAAGTGCTAGACGTTGGTGACAATCTAGCACATCTGAATGATGGAAATGACATAGTTGAACCTCCAAGAACTGAAGCTGCACCTATACCTGTATCATCAGTAAATGCAGAATCTGAAGATGAATCCCCTCATTCCTTNACTGGATTCTCGACTCTAGAGCTACAGACCACATGACATTTGATTCAAATGATTTTTCTCATACAACTCAGCCAAGACGAAGTCGTGTTGCAAATGCTAATGGGGTCACTTATCCAGTTACACAGGCTAGAACAGTGACTTTATCTCCTTTTCTTTCATTGTCTAATACATTACTTGTACCATATCTTTCCAATAAACTGATGTCTGTGAACCAAGTTACTACCGATCTTCATTGTGTGGTCTTGATGTATTCTACNAGTTATGTTCTACCTTTCAGACATAATTGTGGCAAGCCTTCAAATTGATACTCTACAGACATAGAAGAATGGCAATCCAAGTATTTGATAGCCAATTACGTGTCTACTCAAAGACTATCTGAACCTCTCAGGGCATTTGCACATATACTCTCCTCGTGTCAAATTCTCGGCAGTGTTGAAGAATCATTATTAGATCCAAAATGAGCTCAAGCTATAAAAGAAGAATTGGAGGCGCTAGAGAAAAAAAACACATGGGTATTAGGTGTACTACCTGAAGGGAAGAAGACAGTAGGGTGCAAGTGGATTTTCTCCATTAAATACAAAGTAGATGGGTCTATTGATTGATACAAAGCAAGGCCGGTGGCAAAGGGTTATACACAGACATATGGTATAGATTATCAGGAAACTTTCTCACCTGTAGCCAAACTAAATACAGTTAGAGTTTTGTTATCTCTTGCAGTAAACTTAGATTGGCCATTGCACCAACTGGACGTGAAAAATGCCTTCCTCCATGGCGATCTCGAAAAGGAAGTTCACATGGGCATTCCACCAGGATATACTGTTACCTCAGAGGCAAAGAACGCATGTAGATTACAACGGGCATTGTATGGACTAAAGCAATCACCTCGGGCATGGTTTGGTAGGTTTAGTTCGACAATGAGGAAATATGGCTTTCAACAAAGCAATTCGGATCATACACTCTATCTAAAACATCGAGTGGGAAAAGTGACAGCTCTCATAGTCTAGGAAGATGACATGATTATTACGGGGGATGACATAGAAGAAATGTTTAGACTTCAAGAGCAATTATAACTGAGTTTGAAAAGAAGAACCTGGGAGAGCTTAAGTATTTTTTGGGGATTGAAGTAGCTAGGTCGAAACAAGGCATATTTCTTTCTCAAAGGAAATATATACTAGACTTGATGTTAGAAGTGGGATTACTAGAGTGTAAGCCTGCTGATACTCCAATTATTCAAAATCACAAACTTGGAGAGTATTCTGATTAGGTGCCAACAGACAAAGAGAGGTATCAACGGTTAGTTGGTAAATTCATCTATTTATCTCATACTCGCCCTGATATTGCTTATGCTATTAGTGTAGTGAGTCAGTTCATGCACTGCCCTAGTAAAGACCATATGGATGCAGTAATGCGGATTCTTCGTTATTTAAAGTCCTCTCCTAGGAAAGGGCATATGTTTTCAAAGAATGATCATTTGAAAGTTGATGGCTACACAGATGCTGACTGGGCAGGGAACATCTCGGACATGAAATCTACATCAGGGTACTTTACTTTTGTGGGAGGCAATCTTGTTAAATGGAGGAGCAAGAAACAAAAGGTGGTTGCATTATCCAGTGCTGAAGCTGAATTTCAGGGAATGGCTAAGGGTCTATGTGAACTTCTTTGGCTTAAAAGGCTGCTAGCTAAGATTGGCTTTGCTCCCAACTCTGAAATGAACTTGTTTTTGTGATAACAAGGCAGCCATTGATATCTCCCATAATCCGGCCCAACATGATGATCGCACCAAGCACGTTGAGGTGGATCGGCATTTTATCAAACAGAATCTTGAAGAAAAGATTATTCGGTTTTCATTTGTTAAATCAAAAGATCAATTGGCGGATAAACTCATAAAGGCAGTGTCTACAAGAAACTTCTACAACTCACTTGACAAGTTGGGCATAAGAGATATCTATGCACCAACTTGAGGGGGAGTATTGGCGTGAGCTGTCTAATTAGATATTAGAGGAATTTGTTTTAATGTAAAATCCCATACTTTAAGGGTCATCCATGATCTTAGCCACAAATTGTTTATAGCCCAAAATAGTTTCCTAAAATCCCTCTCTTTGTATCTATATATGATTGTACTCAATTTTAAAGGACATATACAAAAGAGAGAAAACTTCCCAGTTATCACAAACCTGTTGCTCTACCCTCACGATTCCCCCGAAGCCACCTTTCTCGAAGTTTTAATCCACCAAAACTAGTAGTAAATATTGGACATAATGGTTATAACACGTTAGTATTGTCACGTGGTATAACTGTTCCATGATAAACAAATAAATTAGTAAAATGTACTCCACTATTTTAGATAACCGTCACATATTCAAAAAATAGAGTTCGCTTGCCTATTTGTAACAATACTAAAGAGGAACTTCTTTCTCCTCAAAAAATTGGCAACTTCAATTTCCGGTAAAGAGGCACATACAGAAGGCCCGAGGGGATGAATCATGATACAAAATTTGAAGTTCTTCCAATTAATGGATGCAACAAAGCTACCATCGATTTCGATAGACTCTATTTATGGCTAAAAACCTCATTTTTTGCTACCCTTTCTTGTTCAGTTATGTTTGGTTTGGTTTGATACGATAAAAAAATGAAATGATGGAAAGTTGGAGGGATAGATAAAATATTATATTTGATAAGGAAGGAAAATAGGAAGAATGAAAAAATTAATTTTGTGTGTTGAAATATATGTTATTTTGTCTATATATCATATTTATGACTTACTTATTATGTATATATTAATTTCATATATAGATATAGTGCTAAAATATATATTTATATTTTTTAATAATAAATAAAAAAATATTAAATAAAATTTTTTTCCATCTTATCAAACCAAAAAAAAAAATATTTTTTACTTTCCATCCCTCTTACCAAACACAAATGAGAAAAGGAAGAATTCTTCCCTTAAAAGATGAAAAGTGTATCACTCATATTTTTTATTTTTCTATTTTTCATCCATCTTACCAAACATACCATTAGTCTTCTTAATTAATTCACAACCTTTCAAGCCTATCTCCTTCTGCCACGCATCAATTTTCATATTCTTGTTGGGCTTCCCGTGGGAAATGATGTGTTTATCAAAATAAAATTAAAAAATATCTATCAAATAAATATGAATAGTTGGATCAGCGTATTCTATAAAAAAAAAATTAATAAGTCTCATCGATTCAACCATTCATCTTAATATAATAAATATTTTAATAAACTTATTTTTTTTTTTGCAAGGGTAATACAGTTCATTAGCTATTCAATCGGGCCAATATTATATAGTTAACAGAAAATATATTGAAATTTGACTCAAACTCTCTGATTATCAAGAAATAGAATTTGTTAGGTAATCAATTTACCAATTCTTGAATGGAATAAGCCTATCTCCTGCTCGTGTTGGCTTTCTCATTAAACTAGTGTGAAGAGAGGAAATCCCATATAAGTAGGCATTAATGAATTATTCTCTAACTAAGCAATTTTTTGACCAAAAGATATATGCATGTACAACAATAAATAGAATATTGAATTATGCTTTATCGGATTTGTGTTGGGCTTAAGTAATGACGTCAAAATTTGGTTATTTCACACCTGACGTAATTGTGTATGTAACTGTGTTTAGTCAGATTTGTATTATGTCGCATTTAATTTATATATACATAATCTAAAACTCGTGTTATCTATAATCAAAATCCATGCCAATCTTTTTGTTGAATTTGAACAGGAGTGGCTGGTGAATCTGGTAATGACCTGAACTCATTAATCTAATCCCATAGTCCATAGATACATGTAACTTGTGTTATAGTTCACAATATCGATTATTAAGGATACAACTCGGCCTTGTCATATTCAAGACAACACTTTGTGTTTTTACGCCGGTGATACATGTTTTGGATAGAAGATAAATAAACCACTGGTTTCACTCGACCCAACGTTCATTCGGAAGTGTCATAGAAGACTTGATTGAGTCATTCAAGTCTTTGTCATTGAAGCACAATGTATCACACGAACCGTGATTAATGCATACCAGTGCCTTCTGAGTTTATTATCGATATTAAAATCATAAACTATACTCTATATCATTATCATATTTATGTTGGTTTGTGTTCTAGATAAAGATGTAGCACACAAGCGAGACAGCTCTGGGCCATACCAATATATAAACAGATGCACATGGTACGTTACCTCACTAACAGCTTCTTTAATGTTGGAAACTACAAAATTAATGTGGACAATTAGAATAACGGGTCATTTGAATATTCCACGTCATAAAGAGAAAGAATGAGTCCAAAATGAGCAATGTTATATGAACTTAAAAAGTAAACTTAAAAATTAGACTTATAATATCAATCATTGATTTCATTGTGGGTCCCAGTATTTATTAGGACTCACTACCTATTCAATGGTTGAGATTATTAAGTCTAATTTTTAAGTCTATCTAACATTATTCGTCCAAAATAGCATATGTTCTGTATGTGATATGAAGATGTGTCAGATTTGATACCTTCTCAACATTAATAATTGTTGATGTAAATTATTAAATTCTAACAATAATTATTATGAGCGATATATTTATTTTCATCGTCCACTTGATTTAAATGTAATAAAATCCATTGAAATATTTACGAACCTGCCATTGTTGCTTACAAAAAACCCCTAATTGTTTTTGATTGATTTACGGGTCGAACTCCAAGAAAGAATGCACCGAATTTAAAATTTAAAAGTCTAATGAGACTAGTCATTAATGTGATACAAATTGGACCAGTTTAGATCTATCCTAACTAGATAACTATGAATTACTCCAATGTTTTCAAGGAGGGATCATCAGGGGCTGCCCGAGCTCTTTTTGAAGGCTAAAGCCAGGATTCTAAAAGAGGCTTTTTTTTTTTTATTCTTTATTATTAATATAAAATTTTTTATTCAATTTTTATATTTTTTTTCAAATTCATATTTAATCATAATAATAATAAATTTATTTATTATTTTTTTGGTGTATAATTTTAATATCTTCTAATTCTTTAAGATCTATCATTTGTTCATTTCAGAAGTTTCACCCAGGTCTTTTGTTATATTTTTTATTATTAATAATAAATTTATCAAGGGATTTTTTTTTACGATTCAATTAGTTTTTCTCCTTTTCTCTCTCTTTTTTAAGTTCCTCGTGTCTAAACTGTTATTTTTTAGTAGCCATAGATAATTGACAATCCAATTTTTTTTAATAAATCAATCAAGTTCTCTTTATAAGAAAAAAACTTAATAAAAATAAAAATTATAAAATAACAAAACTTAATTATATCACTAGNGTTAGAATAACGGGTCATTTGAATATTCCACGTCATAAAGAGAAAGAATGAGTCCAAAATGAGCAATGTTATATGGACTTAAAAAGTAAACTTAAAAATTAAACTTGATAATATCAATCATTGATTTCATTGTGGGTCCCAGCATTTTATTAGGACCCACTACCTATTCAATGGTTGAGATTATTAAGTCTAATTTTTAAGTTTATCTAACATTATTCGTCCAAAATAGCATATGTTCTGTATGTGATATGAAGATGTGTCAGATTTGATACCTTCTCAACATTAATAATTGGTGATGTAAATTATTAAATTCTAACAATAATTATTATGAGCGATATATTTATTTTCATCGTCCACTTGATTTAAATGTAATAAAATCCATTGAAATATTTACGAACCCGCCATTGTTGCTTACAAAAAACCCCTAATTGTTTTTGATTGATTTACGGGTCGAACTCCAAGAAAGAATGCACCGAATTTAAAATTTAAAAGTCTAATGAGACTAGTCATTAATGTGATACAAATTGGACCAGTTTAGATCTATCCTAACTAGATAACTATGAATTACTCCAATGTTTTCAAGGAGGGATCATCAGGGGCTGCCCGAGCTCTTTTTGAAGGCTAAAGCCAGGATTCTAAAAGAGGCTTTTTTTTTTTTATTCTTTATTATTAATATAAAATTTTTTATTCAATTTTTATATTTTTTTTCAAATTCATATTTAATCATAATAATAATAAATTTATTTATTATTTTTTTGGTGTATAATTTTAATATCTTCTAATTCTTTAAGATCTATCATTTGTTCATTTCAGAAGTTTCACCTAGGTCTTTTGTTATATTTTTTATTATTAATAATAAATTTATCAAGGGATTTTTTTTTACGATTCAATTAGTTTTTCTCCTTTTCTCTCTCTTTTTTAAGTTCCTCGTGTCTAAACTGTTATTTTTTAGTAGCCATAGATAATTGACAATCCAATTTTTTTTAATAAATCAATCAAGTTCTCTTTATAAGAAAAAAACTTAATAAAAATAAAAATTATAAAATAACAAAACTTAATTATATCACTAGCGTTCCTAAAACTTAGGATATTATAATGTGATTCTTCTTTAATATCACCTTTCAAAAAATAAAATAAAAAGAATAAGTGAATTGACACTATATTTTGTACAAAATAAAATTAAAAAAGAGAGAATGCGATTATCAAATAATATACTGCGGTGAATTCGGTGACGTTACTTGTGTGATTTATAAAGGCGATCACAAGCTAAGTGGGAGAGAGAATCATTTATTTTATTTTTAGATGAAAAAAAAATTAACTCTGTGTGTGAGAGAGATTGATGTATTAACAGGGAGACACACGCGAGTAAATGTTTAATTGATGTGATTGACTCTTTTAACCTGTTACAGAGAGTAATTAATGCTATGTCACAAGTGGCCCATTTTTGTTAAGAGAATAAGAATATTTTGTTAGTTTAAACTACATAAGATCTTTTTGTTTGCATTTAATTTATATGAGTTCAAATTTTTTGTTTGAATTATATTGAAGACTTATAAAGCGCCCGTTTATAAAGCGCCCGTTTATTCGACCTAGCAATTGGGCTGGCCCTGGGGATCATCTCTCCAATTCTGTGATCCTCCATTACTGCTCGGTGGTGACTTAAGGGTAATTTAAATAGTAACAGAGACAAACTTTAAACACAAATGTCCTGAATTTAAATATTGATAATTTTTTGAGATCATGTCATAAGAGATTTATTTTTTATAAATACCCTAATCACGATGTTGATGACCTAACTTTGGCCGGACCAAAAAGGAGATTAATCGAAATAAGTATAAATTTTTTCAAATATTATTGACCGTTAAATTAAAAAATGAAAAATAAAAAAGTAGTGGCCCAATGCTCAATGATTGATCTTTTGGTGTAGGGAAATATCTTGTCTCATCTTCTATCTACGGGAAAAAAAATATACATCATGATTTGTACTGAAAGGTCACTTTTTTTTTTTTTGAAAAAATACTGAAAGTTCACTTGGAAATTGAGAAATTGGGTTATGACATTGTAAAACATAATTTTTTTTATTTGGACCATTCCATTGAATGAGTATGAGTGTCTGGTATCGTTCCATGCTTTGTCCAGTCACCAGTCTGAAGCAACTGATTAGCTGAGTCGTCACAGATACCTTTTAGTCAACGTAGAGTCTTCCAAGTCATTTTTATCTGATCGTCCGATAAGAATGGATTGAAGAGAGGTTCATGGAGCGACGAAGAAGATAATAAGCTGAGAGCTTATATACAAAAATATGGCCATTGGAACTGGCGTCAACTCCCCAAGTTTGCAGGTATAAACTACTTTCCCCCTTTACCTTCCTCGTCATGATCATCATCTTCTTGTTCTTTCTTATTCTTCCTCGTTCACTCTGCAAAAACTGGTGTGTTGAAGTTAAGAGTTGTGAGATTTAGTAGCATTCTTCAATTTTATGGAATCTAATTTGGTTATATATTTCTTAGGTCTTTCTCGATGTGGGAAGAGTTGTAGATTGCGATGGATGAATTACCTACGACCAGGTGTGAAGCGCGGGAACTACAGCAAAGAAGAAGAGCATATGATTATGAAATTACACGAGGAGCTTGGAAACAAGTACGGATTAAAATCTTTCTGGTTTCAACCTTAAATTTAAAAACAATACAAATATGTTGATCAACACAAGCTTCTTGTTATATACCATTTTTGCATCATGGTTTTACTTTTTAGCATTCAAATTCATCATTGATTGAACCTAGTACAACGATATTTTCCGTTTACAAAGTAGATAAGTATAATTTCGGAAAAAATAAGATACTCCAACAAAGATCAAAAACAAGTTAACTTACGCTGTTTCACTTATTACTGATGTAAGTTAACTTGTGTTGTTTCTTTTAATTACAGATGGTCAGCCATTGCTGCACATTTACCAGGAAGAACAGACAACGAAATAAAAAATTTCTGGCACACCCATATTAAGAAACGTGGGAAATTAAATCCAACAGCAGAGGTGACTGCTCAATCAGATTTATCCTTCAAACTTCTACCAAATCAGAAAGAGCAATTTGAAGAAACTTCCAACAGTAAAGCCAACGAACAAAACATAGAACAGGCACATGAAAGTGATGTTTCTTCTGATACTACATCTCTCCATATTTCCTCAGGCTCTATGTCTACAAATTTAAGAAGCACCAACTGGGATGCAGAAGATGGCATGGCCATCAGTTCACTGGAATCGTTCGCTGGACCGCTTGGAAATTTCTGGAGTGAACCGTTTTTGGAAAACACATTCTACTACCAAAATTATTACTCATCACCTTCAACAGAGGGAGGGCTTATGTCTCCAAATTTGTTATACGATGATGATGCTATTAATTTGTTCCACCATTAAGTTTACTAANGGGAAACAAGTACGGATTAAAATCTTTCTGGTTTCAACCTTAAATTTAAAAACAATACAAATATGTTGATCAACACAAGCTTCTTGTTATATACCATTTTTGCATCATGGTTTTACTTTTTAGCATTCAAATTCATCATTGATTGAACCTAGTACAACGATATTTTCCGTTTACAAAGTAGATAAGTATAATTTCGGAAAAAATAAGATACTCCAACAAAGATCAAAAACAAGTTAACTTACGTTGTTTCACTTATTACTGATGTAAGTTAACTTGTGTTGTTTCTTTTAATTACAGATGGTCAGCCATTGCTGCACATTTACCAGGAAGAACAGACAACGAAATAAAAAATTTCTGGCACACCCATATTAAGAAACGTGGGAAATTAAATCCAACAGCAGAGGTGACTGCTCAATCAGATTTATCCTTCAAACTTCTACCAAATCAGAAAGAGCAATTTGAAGAAACTTCCAACAGTAAAGCCAACGAACAAAACATAGAACAGGCACATGAAAGTGATGTTTCTTCTGATACTACATCTCTCCATATTTCCTCAGGCTCTATGTCTACAAATTTAAGAAGCACCAACTGGGATGCAGAAGATGGCATGGCCATCAGTTCACTGGAATCGTTCGCTGGACCGCTTGGAAATTTCTGGAGTGAACCGTTTTTGGAAAACACATTCTACTACCAAAATTATTACTCATCACCTTCAACAGAGGGAGGGCTTATGTCTCCAAATTTGTTATACGATGATGATGCTATTAATTTGTTCCACCATTAAGTTTACTAATGCCCCTATATGATCTATTTATGTGTTGGATATATAAATATAGGTTGTACTTAACAGATTGTAAGAACATTATCCAGGAATTGTACAAGCCAGCTGCTCCGATTTGGTCTGCTAAGCTAAAATACAAGTGTCCAGACATTTACTCTTTTAGCAATGCTATAGGACCTTATTTGAGGATCTAATTTGGGAACCTAATGATGTGATTTCAATGTAACCATTGAATTAGTTGTGAGTTTCAATGTTAAATGGAGTCTACAACCAATCCAATGATTGTATTGAATTAGGTTTCTAGATTAGGTCCCCAAATTAGGTCCAAATGGCATTTTTCTTACTCTTTTGTATGTTGCCTTTTTAGTGTACCTTCTGTTTATACTAGTGTTTTAAAATCCGGCCTGAACCGGTGAGTCAATCCAGTGAACCGGTCTCCTAACCAGACCGGTTTTATTAAAAGACCGTTTATGTGAGGAACCCGGGATAAACCCGTTAAACCAGTAAAAAACCGGTGAACTCGTGAGAACCGGACGAGTTTAGCAAACTGACCGATTTAATTTCATTACTAAAAATCTGAGATTTTTTTTTCATTTGAGTATTTTGTGTATTTTCCTTGCCCTAAATCAGACCAGACGACACAATACAATCGACTGAGCAACGCCTCCATCTCTCTCGATCCCTCTTTCTCTCTCTCGATTCCGGTCTCTCTCAATCCATCTAGTCGACTAGAGTTTCAGACTTCTTTGCCCTAAATCGAGCCATCCAGACCACCAGGCACCATCGGCTGAGCACAACTTCATGAGGCACCAGCGGCTGAGCAACGACTCCACTAGGCACCATCAACTGAGCACAGATCCACGAGGCACCAGCGACTGAGGAGCGACTCCAACTATAAACATAAATATATACACATAAATGTATCTGTAGTTTGTGTGGGTGAGAGTTCTGTGATATGGTGGTTCTCTATTTTCTTGACACATACTGTTCTTGGATTTTTTGCACCATATTGTACAACAATCAAAATGGGTTTGTTCAAATTGGCTCTGTTTGATTGGTGTCATTGAATAATTTGTACTTGTTTGGCACTGTTTGATCTGGCTCTATTTGTTACAATAATCAAAATGCGTTTTGATTCCTATTTTTAGAAATCTAATGTTGTTGTATTATCAGTTTGAATACATTGAAATTGTATACATGGTTGATCATTTTTCTCTACTTAACTTTATATGTTTGATGTTATGTTTATAATTATTGTGATTTTTTAGCCCATTTATTAATATTTATAATTATTTTTTAATTTTTTATTATATTACTGGTCCGACCAGTGACCCAACGGTTGAACCAGTGACCTATCGATCCGATTCCTTTGCCGGATTGATGTCTGGGCCGGGTTTTAAAACATTGATTTATACTTGCACTCCCGTGTGTTCTGACTTATGAGTGTTCTTGGATAGCAGTGTGTGCGGAGAAAAATGCCATTTTTTTTTGGGTATTTTTTTTTTCTATTTTCAATAGAAAACTCATCTTTTAATATAAAAATAATTTAAAATTTGAAACTATACCCACACAAGTAGAGAAAATGAGAAAGTTTTCTTTATATTAGCGACTTAATAAATAACACTTTTGGTACTTAAAGTAAATATTTTTTGTCAGATTAGTTTTTATTGTATCAATTTTGTTAATTTAGCCCCTGAAGTATTTAATTCTTGTCATTTTGATTCCTAATCAAACAATCTGTCAATTTTTTTAACGAAAGTGACAAATATGTGATCATTCCATCAAGAATTTAATTATCCGTCTATAAAAAGACCACAATGATATGAATTAAAAACTTTAAGAACTAAATTAATACAATGATGACTAAATTGATAAAAAACACATACTTTAAAGACCAAAAATTGTATTAAGCCTAATAAAAAAGATAAGTTCATTTAAAATGTCAAAATCCTCAACAGTTTCAATCACTGGTGATTTATATTTTTATGTTTTAGATTTATCTTTTCATATATCTAAATTGAATTTTTTTTGTTTTTTTAAAAAAACACGACACCAATTTTAATCTCCGTTGCATAACATTAACAATGCCTCACGACTGTTACACCGTTCCTATTACTTGTATAGATACAAAGCAGTATGTTTATTTAGAGCCGTGCTTCAATGTCCAAAACCGTATGGCCAAGCATGAACAGTCATGGTTACTAAAAATCCATTATTTTCACAGTACTGTTTTCTGTAATAAGAAATTGATGTCATTGCAGACAAGCCACTGGAGAATTGCAGTAAACCTAAAATTAAGAAGACAATATGTCAATTATAACTCAAACGAAGTTTCTATCAGCATTAGGCACTGAAGTCGGATAATTTTGTTCCAACAAATAATTTTTGGTGCCATATCCCACTTTTCATCCAATAAAAATATGATGTAAAGGTTTTTTTATTTTTTTATTTTTTAATTATTAATTATAAATCATTTTAATTAAAATTAAAGGTCATAATCAAATTCGGTACATTACCCATAACAATATCCTAGTTATATCCTTTTGTAGAGTTATTTACCGAAGTACAGTTCTATTACAACAAATATAACCAAATATGATATTTTAAAACTTATTTATCAATCTATGATACTTTTTTATGAGCAGATTTAATAACTCTGTTTTTGTTAAAGGACGAAGTCAACTACCTTAAACTGTGTTGAAAGTTTTGCTTTCTTAAAATTAAAGATTTAACCCCCTCCCCCCAACCTCCTCCCAAAAAAAAAAAAAGTAGTGTCCAAATCATGATCTTTTGTGCGTTAACATGCTTTTAAAAAAAAACGTAAAATCAACATGCTTTTTTTACCACTCACTTTTTTTTTTATTTTTTAAAATAGGGATATTGAATCCGTTTTTTTTAACAAAAGTAGAGTTATTAAATTCACTTTTAAAAGGATTACTAGTTTGATAAATAAACTCAAAAATATCTTATTTGATATATTTGTTTTAGAAGAGCTACACTCCAATAAAAAACTTTGCTTTCATACATGACCTTGGTGTGAATGTGCATCATGGTGCCAAGTCAAGGAGTTGAAGATTCCATTTTTCTTGAAGTATATTTTTGGGTCCTATCACTCGTTTCTTTAGAAAATGCAAATTGAGAAAAAAAAATAATGAAAGAATTGAAAGCTACATGTGATCATTTGTGATAATCAAAGTTCCTTCTTTACGACCAGTATGACATGACCATCAATAAGCACATGGTCATCACGTTAATCATGTGAAGAAATTTATTACATTCAATGTACTTCGAATAAAGTATTTATATAAACAATGTGACCACCCTTATTTGTAGATCTAAGCATCTTGTGTCCTTCAATGCAAAGAAAAGCATTTTCTTTTTTTAAAACTCTAGTACCACGTTTAAAATATGAACAAATTATACATTCAAACGTTTTAAATTTGAATTCTGATAATCTTTGAGGTCAGATTATCTGATATTATTCATCTAGTCTCGGCGTGGATAATTTGTCTTTAACCACGCAAACCAAATAAGAAATTAGTAAAAATACACATGAATTGATTCAAACACTACATATCATAAAATAAAATAAAAAAAAACTATAATTAATATATTTGTATGTGTGTTCAATTCAAACCACCAATACCCTCAATTTTGCTACACATGGTTGAAAAACTTGTCAGCATCATGTACGTCACTTTCTCACTTGCTTTAAATTAGATTAAAAAACCATCTACCCGACTCTTTAACTGCAACACGACATTGGTTACTTAATTGTATACATCAGCATCAAATACGTCACTTAGTTAAACCATGTGCTATCATTCCCAGTATCTAACGCTAAAATTGTCAGAAGAAAGGTGATCCTTTCCTTCTGTATTAGAGGAAGACTAGCGATTTTTCAATATCGAGTTATAATTTTTTGCCATAATCCATCTGAAAATATTATGATGATCATAAAAATTAGAACTTCAAACATAAAATTACAAAAAATTACATTTTTCAGTGGCAAATTTAAGGCGCGGTTAAAAATATCACCACTAAAATTATTTTTTAGTGACAAAAAATAATTATTATCACTATAAGTATTATAATAAACTTCGGTAATGACAATTAATTGTCACAATAAAAAAGTCAACAATTTCTTGGTGTAAAAAAGATTTAGTGGTGACAATTATTTGTTACCACTAATGATTACCAGGAACAAATATTTAGTGACAAAAATAAAATAGTTTCCACTTAAACTTTTAGAGTATTAGTTTTAAATTAATTGGTTTTTTTATATGGTTTTTTCATCAGTAACTATGATATCAGTGGTACTTTGGTTCTTCTGTTCCAAAGTATTCTTTTTGCCCAAAAAAATTTAGGTTTGTACTTAAAGCCTAATGAGTTATAGGAGGTGTGCCAACTTCCATAAAACTTAAAAAAAAAAGGGGTCTGTGGACAAGGCTTGTGGCAGCAGAATGTCCTAAGGTTGGGGCCTCGGCCCGAAGAATGTGACCCAACAATTGGTTCTGGTCAAGATTTTTATGGCAAGCCCACCGGTATTCACCACCACCACCATGAACAACAGTAATCGCCCGCCTCATTCGGCTCGCTGCTCAACCTAAAGGATAAATACAAGGTTGAAAGGATGGGCCTCCACTTGTTGAACCTTTAACCATACTTTGAAGAGAACTGTTTATTTCAATCGTTTCATGTCGTATCATATTTAAGTGATCTAGGGTTTACCTCATTTGTGGTTTGTTTCACGCATTTTTGTGGTTTTATTCCTACAACCCTTCTCTATCGACCAAACATAATGCATATTAATGACTATAAATTATGTTCAACGAAAATCAAATTAAAGACAGATTTAAATTTATAACAATTAGCACAAAACACGATCAATGAAACAAAAAAATTATATATTAAAGAAAAAACAATCTCTTTCTTCTGGCAAAATCAATTAAACAGATTTGTCATGTCAAAATATATTTGTTCTTATTTGACACAAATTTAAA